AATATCAAAATCAAGATAAAAACAGCCATCGGCAGCCTCCCCACGGGTCTCTCACCCACGTCTGTTTCTTTCAAATGGCTCCTTCCATGTCCCCCAAGTCCCTGGTACAAGTCCAAGGCCAAGAAGCCAGTGTGGTTTCTTCTTCACGGCTCTCTGCTCCATCTGCCTCCGCCAGTCTCCTTCCTCCATCTCCCTCTGCTTCTCTTCTACTCCCCTTCTTTTTCCCAGTCCTTATTAGCTTCACACTGTTACAATTCCTAGCTTCACCTTCCTGCCCAGCTCCATCTTTCCTTCAGATGGGGTAGGGAAATTACACTGTTCCAATCATGACTCATAGCCAGGGATTAGATACACCACTGCCTGTAAAAAAATGTTCTTCCAGGGCCTCCCCAGTGGTGCAGGTGGTTGAGCGCAGCACTATGAAGCTGTCTGCAGCCTCTGCAATGAGGGTTCGATTCCCAGCCAGCCAGGGAGATACCCACATGGCACAGCAGACATCTCTGGACTCGCCCGCTGCTCCCCTCAGCAGTGTATTTCAGTAGATCTGCCTGTTCTGCTCCCCACTCTGTCTCTGGTGAATCCTCTCACCCTCCCACATGTCTGGCCTGTACCCCAGCTCTTGTATACATAAATAAATAAATCTTTTTAAAAAAGTTCTTCCAGTAGGGGGAGGGGCTTTTAGAAAGCGGGTACACAAGTATCTGCCATAATTTCCACACATGGAGCCTAATCTCTCTCCCAAACATTCACCATTGAGCCTAATTGTTATTTACAAAAATAGATGCATTATTAATAACTCCACTTGTAAGCTGCTTAAAATACGACATATAACTTATTTAACATTTCATGGGGAACCCAGCAGGGTCAGCTCTGAGATTTACAGACTTCTACCAAGTATTTATTTACATCCAACTGAAGTATGAGATGAAGAACAAGATTTGATCTATTCCGGGCCTCCCCGGTGGCGCAGCGGTTGAGCGCTGGGTTGCGAAGCTGCTCGCGGCCTCTGCGGCGCCGGTTCGATCCCCGGCTGCTCCCCGGCCACTGGAGGAGGGTCCCGCATGGCGCGCAGACCTCTCCTGCCGCCCGCTGCTCCCCTCAGCAGTGTACTTCAGTCCTTCTGCCTGCTCTGCTCCCCGCTCTGGCTCTGGTGAATTCTCTCACCCTCCCGCGCTTCTGACTGTACCCAGTGCATGTATAAACAAAAACAAACAAACAAATAAATAAATAAATAAAACATGCCTCTATTAAAAAAAAAAAAAAAAAAGATTTGATCTATTCCATAGTTGGGCTTTATCCATGTTCAAACATCATCTGAAAGAGAGCTGGGCGAGGCGGAGAAGGTAACAGAAACCTAGTTATAGGAAAATGGTTCAGGTCCTCAGAGAAATGTCATCATAAAGGGACATGGAGACTTGGCAGTCTCAACAAGAAGGTATGCAGGGTAGCAGGAAGTGGCAGGTCCGGGGAAAATGCAACAGAGAGAGGATAAACCTAATGATATGTGTGTGTGCCTTGGCGGGGGGGGGGGGAGAGGATTCTAGGAAATAGTGACGTGAAACCTCAAATTTAAGTCTAGGAAGGACACGGAATTTGTCTTCTCACTCCACAACAGAATACTGCGGATCACAGCCTGAACCGCCGCTTGGAGGAGAGGCTGAGAGTTCTGATACAAGAGTCACACTACACAGGTGCACACCCCGCTTCTCCCACCTACTATCCCTGTGACTTTGGACAAGTTGCTTAACCTTCCTTTCAACAGCTTCTTCGTGTGCAAATGGAATTTTTTTTCATTCATTTTGCAAAATGCACAAACCTCAAAATGTTGTGATGCGTATTAGCTAAGCGAAACAGTGTCTAGCACTTAATAAGCTCTTGCTATTTGTCAGCTATTAGCATTGTGGTGCAGAAGACTTGAGACCACCAGAGATTACAGTAGGTCTCAGACTGGTCAAGGTCAGCAAATGTTGGACACCAAAACTGAATGAAAAGTACATGTGAAACCCTGGTTAAACTCAGGTTCCCAAGTGGCCATTTCTGGACCCCTGGAGTTTCACTGTGGAAACTTAGTCCTGCAACCAAAGAATGGGCTTTCTGCATCTCTTTGTCACCCTAAAGGATCAAATTCATGAGCTACAGAAACACTTCACTAAAAGACCCCATTGTGTCACACACCAATCTCCCCCATACCTTGTCTGAACATTCCATACCCCAACTTACCCCCCACCACACTCTTCTGTCCATGAGTGTCTCACATACCCCCTCTCTTTCCTAGCAATCTGTTCTCTTTCTTCTCGGACAAGTACATCTATGTCTTTTCAGAAGAAAATACCAGTATCTCTTCTGTGGTTCTCCACCCATGGATGAGCACATCTTGCATTTGAGCCTGGGGTAGGAACACTGGCAATGATACTAAACAGGCAAAGCCAAAAATTATCCCAAGAGAATGAAGGATGGAGAACATGTTATGGATAGTCATACATTCATGAACATTGTCTCTGCTTTTTACATAAGGTGCCTTTCCTTTGTGAATCTGGTCATCCAACAGATTTCTATTTGTACTGCGCACAATTCTCAGCACAGGGATAAGGGGATGGTAATACACAGTCCCTACTCTTAGGAGACCACCCTCCATTCCCTCCTGTCCCAGTCACTTCCCAGGATGGAGGATGCCCCAGATCACCTAAGATCCAGACCAGGAGAGAATGCTCAGCTCCCCCTCCCCCAAAGGTCCTCCCTGGTGGAGGATAGGATTCCAGCCTGATGACTATTTCCAGTCTCTCCATTACAGTCAGGGGAAATGAAGACACTGACTTGACAGTGGCCTTGGCAGAGCCAGAGAGAGAACCCAGCACATTTATCACCAGTCCGGGAGCTGCTGTTCAGCCTCACTGACCTGTAAAATCTACACTAAACTCAGGGTTGGCTCTTCAGCTTCTGAATTTGATTTAGGCCCTAGGAAAGGTCCCCAAGGCCTAGTACTGACAAATCACCATTTCTCAGGAATTATCTAGTAAATGTGGCTGGCTAGAGAGTGCTTGAAGCCAGCAGGGAGAGCCGAATTGTCTCATGAGCTAGGTACTCAGAACCACCAGGATCTGTTCCCCCCAAATGTCTATTCAATTTGACACTTCCCCCCACTTTGTATTCATCACATTTGAAATATTAAACCAAAACCTGTCTCCTCTCAGAATATAAACTCCAGGAGGGCAGGGGTCATGTCTGATTTATTCATGGCTTAGCCCCAGAATCAAGTCCTGTGGGGTCCATGGTAGTAAATACCTATTGATTTCATCACATGTGATATGGCTTTCATAACACAGCTCAAAAAATGTGATAATAATTACAATATTTAGTCAATATTGACTCAATACCAAGTAGGGTGCTAAATAATTTACATTCATTATCTCAAACAAAAAAATCAGAGAGACAGGATTTATATCCTCACTTAGACATTTCTGAAATGCATCACTTTGGACACTTGATATAACCTCTCTGAGATTCAGTTTCTTAATCTGTAAAAGAGATAAACAATAATAACATCAACATGTATGTGAAGTGCATAGATAGGAGAAATATTTTTAAAGAGCCAACCCCCTCCCAAGTACCAAAATTTTAACTGCTCATGCCCATTAATTCTCAGTAATTACATTTCCAGGAATTCCTCCAACAGAAAATTTTGTGCAGCTGTAAAGGACCATTTTACTGCAATACTGTTTAAAATAGAGAAAACTTGGCAATAACCTAAATATACATCAACAGGGGATGGGCACATAGATTATGGTGCAGTGTGGCAGTTTCTCAGAGTTGCTAAAACTAATTATCACTAACGAGGTACCCAAAAAACAGCAGAGATGCATTCTATCACAGTGCTGGAGGCCAGGAAGTCTGAAGTCAAGGTATCAACAGAGCCACCTTGTTCTAGGTTCTAAGGTTCTAGGTTCTAGGGAACAAGCTGCCTCTTCCAGTTTCTGGAGGCTGCAAGCATTCCTTGGCTTGTGGCCACCTCTCTCTCTCTCTCTCTCTCTGGCTCTTTCCTTTACATACACCTCTCCTCTCTGTGTCTATCTCTGTAAATTCTTCCTCTATACCCTATCTTAAAGATACATCTGGTTGTAGTTAGGACCCACAGGATAATTCAGGATGATCGCCTCATTGCAAAGACCTTTCCTCAAAAGGTAATATTAGGTTTGTTATGGGCTGAATGTTTGTCCACCCTTCCTTGCCACACACACACACACCATGAAATTCATATGTCGAAGCCCTAACCATTCCAATGTCCAAACTCCATTTGGAGATGGAGTTTTTGAAAGGTAGTTAAGGTGAGATGAGGTTTGAGCCTTCATGAGATAGTGTCCTTATAAAGGGAGACAACAGAGATTACTTCCTCACTCTCCCACAGGCACACAAATAAGGGGTCATGTGACAATGCAGCAAGACGGCAGTCATCTATCTGACTAGCACCTTGAGCTTGGATTTCCAAACCTCAAGAACCGTGAGAAATAAATTTCAGTTGTTTAAGTCAACAGTCTCTGTTATTTGGTTATGTCAGCTCACAGTAGCTAAAACAAGGTCCCAGGGATTAGGACATGCACTTATCTTTGTAGTGACCTTTCAGTACACTACATACAGCATATAGTGGAATACTACGCAATCATCAAAAAGAATGAAGCTATGCCATTGTCCAGATAAAAGATGACAGTGGCTTGTATTAGGGAGGAAATGAGATGGTAATACAAAGAGAATAAATTCTGTATGTTTCTGACAATAGAACAGAAAAAACTTAAATTTTGAATGTGACCAATGAAGAAAGAAGAAGAATCCTCCTATATGCCTCTGTAGCAGGGGAAAAGGACCTGGAAGATCACACAGGATGATTTAAGGACTAAGCCTAGATTTTTGAATGCATACATATTTTTTTATTGAAATTTCTAATTGAAATATAACATACCATAAAATACACAAATCTTTATTTTATGGTTCAGTAAATTTTTGCATGTGTATTTACCCATAAAACAACCATGCAGAGCACCTTATATAACATTTTCAGCATGGCAGAAAGTATTTCTTGTACTCCTTCTAAGTCAATCCCCACATAAAGGTAGCCATTTTTACTTCTGTAAGTTTAGATGTTCTTACATTTCTTATATTCTTACAGTTTTACATTTTGATTTCTTTAATTGTATTTATTCTTGAAGTTCATGCAGATGTAACTCTTTTCTATCTTGTTTCTTTCATTCATCATTATATCTCTGAGATTTATCCATGGTGTTGTGTATGTACATAGCTTGTTCTTTTTACTGCTGTGTAGTATTCCATTGTATCCAGATGGAACTCTAGGATTTGCTGATGCGATGTGAAAGAAATAATAGACATGACTTCTGCTCTGAGTCCCTGAAAGGTGAAGCTGCCATTAACGAGATGGATTGCTTTGTGGGAAGAGTAGCTATGAAGTGGGCAGAGGATAAAGATCAGGAACTTGATTTTGGACATGGTCAATTTAAATTGCTTATTATATATCCAAGTGTTGATAGTTAGTAGGCCATTAAATCATCAAGCAATAAGCAGGGGAGTGATAATAAGGGAGGTGATTACTACCAGGTAGGGTAGTGAATGATGGAGAGATGACAGGAAAAGTCAGAACTAAAAGAGGGAGGAAGCCTGGAAAGTGATCCAAGATGATGAGGAGTATACTAGAAAAATAGCCACCCCTTAGAGAGTTATAGGGGAAGCAGTGTCCTTGGGGAAAGCCAGTTAGAAAGATATATACAGAAAAGATTTTCCAAAAACCTCTCTTACCAAGCAGACATCCTAACACCTACCTGCAAAGGCATATTAGCACCCAATATTTTGGTTGGAGACCACTGCCTGGCATTAGTCATCCAAACAGTTTTCATTGCAGCTTATCCTCTTGTTATTCTTAACATCTACAAGGTAATAAACACAACCATGACGGCATGCACCATGACCATTCCCCACGCCTGCCAAGCAAATGATTGACTCTTCGGTCTCCTGCACAAGTCAGAGTGTAGCCCTGACTGAATATCAGGGAAAAAAAGTCCCCAACCCACATCTGCTGCTAATGTAATATGTGACTTTCAGGAACTGCGTTTCTCTGACTCTAGCTCCTGCCTGTAGAGTAGGGATAAGAAGAATATTTTTTAAAAGTGTGACTTTGAGCTCAGCAGACTTCATACAAGAAATGAGATTTCACCTCCTTAGCTCTTAACTTCTTCTGAATTAACAGTAAAAATAGCAGTATCCTGGGCCTCCCTAGCACTCCCTGGTGGCATGAGGGGTTGGGATGCAACCGATGAAGCTGTCCACAGCCACTGCAGCATGAGTTCTATCCCTGGCCCGGCAAGGAGCAACCCACATGGTGCAGCAGACCTCTCCTAACTCACCCACTGCTCCCCTCAGCAGTGTATTTCAGTCAATCCCAGTCAATCTGCCTGTTCTGTTCCCCACTCTGTCTCTGCTGAATCCTCTCAACCCCCACACCTCTGGCCTGTACCCCAGTTCTTCTATGAATAAATAAATCTTAAAAAAAATAACAGTACCCTGATATTTTTAAGAAGCCCCTCACCTACATATTCTGGTGCCTTTATAGGAAGAGGAAACTTCACAGCAGGAAGGAGCTTCCCACAAGCCAGAAGAGGACTCACCGGGAACAAAACTTAGCCAGAATCTCAATCTGGACTTCCAACCTTCAGCACTGTGAGAAATAAATTTCTGTTGCTTTAGTCACCCAGGCTATGGTATTTTTTTGTAATAGTCCAAGCTGATGCCCTTGTCCCCCCCGCCCCAGGTTCCCCTTTCCAATAAAGAAAGTCAGTGAAGGGAAAATTTAGGAGCTGGGTGCCCTAGCAGGAAGGCAGATGGACTCTCAGAATGGCACACACCCAGGCTCAGTGAAATGCTGGACTTGCATAGGGCTCAAAGGCGTTGAGGAGCCATTCAGGGAACAGAGAGTGGGTACAGTGGGATAGATGTGCATAAAAAGGCGGGGTAGGAACTGAGAGACCTATGTAAAATATACAGCCACTTCTCAGCATCAGTCAGTCTTGCCATGTGTAAGGATTGGTCAAATATGGGCCTATTGTGCCCTTTCATTTTTAATAAAGAATCTCATAATGTACATTTGCATGTGAAATCACCAGATTTTTATAAATTGTACTCTTGTATTGTCTAAACTAAACATATGTATGAGAATTTTCTAGACTGACAGCAGACAGCTTGTGGACTGTACACAAAGCTCACATAGGTGGGAGGAAGGGAGAGGAGCAGGAAAAGAACATGCTATGGTATCACAAATCTAAATTCAAATCTCGATCCAACACTCACTTGCTGTGTTACTTAACTGGTTGCATAACCTCTCTGATCACTCCTGTTGTTTGCAACATTTTGCCAGTACAAATACTGCTACTATCAACTATGCTGTACTCATGGCATTTTACATTGTGGAAATATATCTGGGTGATAAATTCCTAACGGGAGACTGAAGCATTGTAGGTTGGATTCTCTGGAACAGACATGGAGATGGAGTTTGGGCTGCAAAATGTTTATTAGGAACATATGTCTGCACAAAAACTTGTACTTGAATGTTCATAGCAGCATTACTCATAATAGCCAAAACAATGGCAACAGCCCAAATGTCCATGAACTGATAAATGGATGAATAAAACGTTGCATATCCTTACAACAGAATAGCACTCGACAATAAAAGGAAATGAACTATTGCGGCATGCTAGAACATGGATGAACATTGAAAATATGATGCTAAGTGAAATAAACCAGGCACGAAAGATCACATACCATATGATTCCACTCATCTGAAATGTCCAGAATAGGCAAATATTTAGAGATGAAACATATATTAGTGCTTGCCTAGAGCTGGAAGTTTGGTGGGAAATGAGGAATGAATGTTAATGGGTATGAGCTTTCTTCTGGGTGTGATGAAAATGTTCTAAAGTTGACTGTGGTTCACAACTTTATGAATAGAATAAACACTAATTGTGCATTTTAAATGGGTAGTTGATATGACATATAAATCCTGTTTCAATAAGGTTGTCCTAAAAACGTTGATGGGGTAGGGGAAAGAGGCGGAATTGGGTACAATGTCGACCCCATGAAGCCACTTAATCAGCCAGACACTGGCTGAGACAAAAACCCCAAGCTTTTATACCAAGAACACCCAGCCATCCTGCCCTTGTGTCGTTCAGTTACTGGATGTTGCTCTCCTCTCCAGGAGAGCAGGGCTTTAGTTGAGGGAGCTCTCTGCAGCTGTTGAAGGAGCTGACAAGTAGAAATCACCCACTGACCGCACATGCCTCCCTGCAAAGCAGCCTGTGCTCCCTTAAGGTTGGGGTCTGGGAAGTGCAATGCCGTGTCTACATCCCCAAGTCAAAACCCAATTAATTTCCATAGATATGACCAAACTACTTCATTGTCCAGATTATCACAATCACCAACAATTCGTCAACTACTGGTAATGTTTATATCCAGCAAGTGTGGGGGGTGGGGCTACTGAACAGCAGGAGGTAAATCTTAGGAGGCCACTGAGAAATCCCCAAAATGCCACATGAAAGACTCTTCATTTTCTCCTGCAAGAGTCAGGAGACTCTGACTGGTTCAGTTGTTTTCCCAAGAGAGCTGACATGGTGTAAAGCTATGTTTTAGAATACTTAGTCCTGTGACAGCATGCAGGATGATTTGGAATGGGAAGACCCAGAAGACAGGGAGTCTAATTAGTAGATTATTGAAATCACCCAGCCGGGGCATGGGGAGGGTGAGCGGTTGCAAGAAGGGAAAAGAAGGCATGGAAAGAAGAAAGTACACTTGAGACTGATTAGACCAGGGAGTAAGGGGGAAGGGAACACCTTCAAGTCAGGGCATTGGATGGATGCCCTGACCCTCCCCCACCATGAGCCTGACCTCCTAAAAATCTTTCCTGTCCACACACATGTCCCTTCATCTCTACTATCTCCAGCATAATCTCTTGATTGGACAACATCACAGTCTTGTCACTGTCCTCAGAACATCCATCCTGGCTTCCAACAATCCATTCTCCTAATAGCAGCCAGAGAGACCTTCATAAAACTTAAATCAGGACCTGTCGCTGAGATTCAAACTCCTCCAATTGATCTTCATTGTCCTCTGGAAGAAGGACTATTGTCTACCCAACCCTTCATCAGCTTAATGAGTGGCCTCTGCTTACCTCCCTAGTCTCATTTTTCACCACAACCCACTCTGTGACTTACTGAAATTCCTGGAAGTCTCTGAAAGTTCCATGAGCCCTCCTGCCTCTGAGCCTTCACACATGCTTTTCCTCGAGGATCAATATCCCATGGTCTGTAACCTACTCTTACTTAGCCTGTGGTGTCTGGTTACCTGATGCCTCTTCCGGGAAACCTTCCCTGACCACCACCCCTCAAGACTATTGCAGGTTGTCTGCAAAAATGGCACTAACAATCCCCCCACCTCCTTTTCCATCCATATTGCTCTTCCCATCATGAGATCAACTCTATTTCTCCACTTCTTGAGTCAAACTGTTGGCTTACATTACACAATGCAATGCATCAGAAGTGACCTGGTAGTTCTTCATATTTGAGACCTTACAGGCTACCACCCCCTCCGAGGGGAACACAGCCATAGCAGCCACAGGCACCATGTGGAGAAGAACCAAAGTCCCAGGCTATGAGTACAAAACACCATTGCAATCATCACACTATCCCACTGAGGTGCCAGTCATGTGATTGAAGCATCTTGGATCCTCCTGTCCTAGTCCAGTTGCCCAGTCAATTCCATCTGGAATAGCAACAAACCATCTCACCGAGCCCTGATGGAATTCCTAACACACTCAATTGTGAATAAAAATGTTTGCAGTAAGTCACTATATTTTGGAATGTTTGCTATTTAGCAAACGATCATTTATACAATATCCCTCCTCTTAGTTTTCCTATTGCTTGATCCCTTCTATCATGGTATCTATTTTATTGTCTTGTGGTTGCTTGTTAAATCTCCTCAACCATCCCCAGTCACACATACATTCAGAACCAGGAGGAAAAGGACTAAGATATGTCTTCTTCATACTCTCTTTCTGGACGTGGCATATGGTAGATGCTCATTAAATATTTGTTGGGTTACACTCCACTAAGATAGGGACACTCTAAGCCAATTTAACCATTTCCCTCAATAAAACCAAGTTATCTCTCAAGTCTTCCAGGGATGAGTAAATTTCCATGTGGCAACGGGTGACTAGACCTCATTACCAGGCTCTTTCTCCTGCCCTCCCCAAGGCTTAGCCAACCGTTGTCTCCTTTGGACAATCTCATTTTATGAAAGGAACTATGGGTGCCCTACCTTCAAAAAAACCTCACAACTGTTTACTGCATGCACTTGTATGAGTTTCCTGTAATGAAAACCATAAAAGTAGTGACTTAGAAGGGTACGCATTTATCTCCTTACAGTTCCAGAAACCAGAAATTCAAACTCAGTCTCACTGGGCAGGAAACTGGCTCCTTGGAGGCTCTAGGGGACACTCTGTCCCTTGCCTTTCATAGCTTGCAGAGGTCACCCCACGTTCTTGGGCTCACAACTTCTTCCTCTTGCTGCCATGTTACATCTCCCACTCCCTTCTTTCACCAAATCTCCCTCTGCCTCCTCTATAAGAACACCTGGGTCATATAGTACCCAACTGAATAATCTTGGACAATCTCCCATCTCAAAGTCTCTCCCTTAGTCCTTTTGCCTTATAAAGTGATGACAATCACAGATTTGGGGATTAGGAGCTGAGCATCTTTGGGGGTCATTATTCAGCCTACTACACCATCTCAGAAAGACTCAGTGAGCTGAAGTGACTGCTCCAGGCTCTGAAGTTAGAGAGTGACCAGGTCAGCACTGGAAACCAGTTCTTTTTGACTCCTAC